TCCACAATTCATTCACTTATAAGCATAAATAAACAAAAAAACCTTAGTAACAGCAAAAGTAGCTCACCTTTTCCAGCCTCTAGGAGTAGGAAATCAATTAAGGGATCGCGGCAGCAAAAAGAAAAACAGAGGAAAGAAGAATGGGAGAAAAACATCGCCTCATAACACGGCGGTTAGCTTTTTGTGCGTGGGTCCTAGAACGAATAATAGCAATCTGTTTTGTCTCGACACTCGTCTAACGTGACACCGATCAAGAGGCGGAGGGCGACCGTGGATATCTCTCCGGCCCCTTATTGTGCCCTATCCAGCCGTTTTCCGACCTCATTCCTGTACGAATGGTACCAGAGGGGGCTTCGAATTCAAACCATGCGCAAATCTCCGAACCACTTTTTTGTGAACAGTGCCTTTAAAGACGTTCTGTTCTGGGTGAGCTAGCAGCAGGACCATTGTTTCGGCTATAGGATTTGCAACTAGAACGATTCTGACTTAATTTACCTAACCACACTTTCCTTTCAATTTGACTTGACCGATATCAACTTATGAAATCAGCATATTGGGCATTAGGTATTCACGGCAACCCCCTACGATGTATGTATGGCATGGGATCAATCTCCCAGGGATCAACTGAGGCTGAGTCAATCATGCAACTCCGGAAATGTCTAAATGAACTTACCAGCAGTGTTGATCCGTTTTGAGGAACACTCATTTGATTTGGTGAAAATGCTGTGGGTTGAAATGCTGGAAAATTCATTGGGAACACCTGAAATGTTGTAATCTTCAAAAGGCAGGACACTTTAAAGCTCTTTGAAATCAGACCTGTGAGTTGAACGGTGGTTGAAAGACATCCTGAAGAGCTTGAAGAAAGTTTTGTTGATTTGGCATCGTTGGGTTTGTGGGATAATTTGGAGATATCTTAAAATAGCTTCCCGCAGTGGAATAATCATAATTTTTCGAGTCGAAGAAGTTATACTGATATTTACCGTATACATNCCTTAAAGCTCTTTGGAATCAGACCTGTGAGTTGAACGGCGGTTGAAAGACATCCTGAAGAGCTTGAAGAAAGTTTTGTTGATTTGGCATCGTTGGGTTTGTGGGATAATTTGGGGATATCTTAAAATAGCTTCCCGCATTAGCGGAATAATAATTTTTCGAGTCGAAGAAGTTATACTGATATTTACCGTATACATTCCTGAATGCAGATTCTCCATATCAGTATATTCACTTCTTTTACATGGAGGTTCATCAATGAAATCCGCTCGCCGTTTCTGTAATACCACCATGCTTCCACGTGTGTAACGTTAGGTCTATTATGGCTATGGGAGCCAGACATATGGGTGACTTCATTTTCGTGCAACAAATCACACTTGTGTAAAACAAAGAGCCCTTAAATCCTTATTGCTCTGGAGCTATTGTCCGGAGCAGGAACCGGACCTTATGGCCTTTTCCCCACATCGTTTTCATCACATTACAATTCATAAAGTTTGAAATAGAGACAATGAGGTGAGATATGTTGACTTGCCTTTGACGGAAGCGGGTCCGGATCGATATTAGTCATTGTTAGTAGTTGCTCATACATCTGTAATTCCGTAAAACTGCTGTGAAAGAATCCATTCAGGTACTGTGAGATGGAAACAACACAGTAAACAGAGGCAAATTCATACCGTAAATCTACTCAGGGAAAACAAGTGCTCAGACCTCAAGATAAACAAAACTAACAGTTGAGAACTTCACAAAGTTAACAACCTTACTTGGCAGGGCAATCGTTGTCGGCGACGAAATTGATAGCGACGGTATAGCAACATGACCTCCGTGATCTGCTTCATTCTATTTTACAAATAGAACATCTTCGATTTCAATCATCGTCATCGATTACAACCGTTTTGGAATCCGACATGCTATGAATAAACTGATTCTTAAGTGCTGGGGGCGCCAGAACTCGACAGAGAAGCCTAATATTCTCTATGAAGAAGCGTATTCCGAAACAGTTCACGTACATGTTGTGGAGCTGGAAATTGAAGTATCGATAAGTAGGCGAAGCTGAAGGTTGAAATGGAACAGTGCCATATCAAAGCTATTGCTTTGAGCATCACTGTCGAAGCCATAATGCCCGACCCAAAGCTTTCTCCTATTATTGAAGGCGCACGCCATCCCGAGCATACCTCTTACTAGTTTTTTAACAAGAGCTTGACATACAGCACCCCACCACGATTTGTACTCCAAAGTTCGTAATTTTTACCCCATCAGCATCCAATGATACCGGTCTCATGAGCTACCTTAGATGCTTCTTCGAAGTGCGGAAACGGAAACATTTTGACTATTGAGGAGATAAAACCTTCTTTTTCGTTTCCACAGTTTTACCCTCGTGCAGCCCACCAACCTCGCAGACCTCCGTCCCCTGATGTAGATGTGTTACATTCAATCAAAGAAAGTTTGAATCTCACCGAAAGACTGAGACGGTTTCGAATGCGTATGTACCCTAGCAATTCAATGCTTTGATTTTATCAGTCGGGCCTGTATCAACTATCCACCCTCGAATGATGAAAGACTTAGTGTACTGGGCGAGCATTGATACAGAATCCGACCTTCGGACCATCCGTGTGTAATAATGCCTCTTTTCCCACTGCACCATCCTCGCCCAGAAATAAAGAATGTTCCCTCATGAAGGTAACATTTTTAACGATTTACTCGATACAGTTCAGAACAAGTGAAAAACACTACGCATCTTAGAGTTCGTAACGATGATCATAATTCGGAATGAGACTACAGAAAGTGTAGTGTAACGAGTAACGGACGAGTATTTAATAGCAGTCGAATTAAGCTAAACTTTGTACATTAGTTATCATTGTGATATGAATATGACTTTTCTAAATCAGGTTTGTTATCTTCAAATTGTTATTGTCGTGCCGCCTGCATGATACGATAAAAATGCTCGAGTTCTTCCTGAAAAACGGCTTTTTTATGTTTCTATAAAAAGGATATTTCAGAATGACTTACTGAAGAAATGCATCCGTTCTGTTGAGCAAATTGTAATACCAACTTGTACAGAGAAAGATACTGATCAAGGCTTTGCACAGCCAGCGCTCGACATCGTCGGAGACTGGATACTATCTTGAAAGAGTTGATCATTTATGTAGAGGAGAAGAGGCCTTTTCCGTGTAGGTAAGACGACTTGATTGACAGCCTCCTGTCTGATTCTGAGCAGCTTCTTTTCTAGTACCATGACTTACCGAGTGAATGTCAATTGGACGAGTATTCGCTACCGTCATCAAACACATCTCCAAAGCTACCAATGTACCACTCCGTCCGACTCCTGCTGAGCAATGGACAACTGAAACAAGTCGAAATGGTTCAATGGCAACGCTTTTGAACCTCAAAAGTAGTCTATGTAACGATTCAGTAACAGATCATAAAGTAAGAAGTCTAGTGATAAAGTTCTTGGCATTAATCAATCCCGTCCGAGGGATGTGCCCCGCACTTGATTTCCATTCAGGATCGTAGTGGCGTAATGAGTGCGTATGTGGCCTATACAATGACTTGCGGTGGCCAGCCAATGTACAAGTCAGTGCTTTTATCCTCCCAGACGAGTCTGGTACCAATTAACCGACCCCGCAGGGATGGAAGGTTTCGTTGGCCCAGGCGGGCATCGATCCGGGATTCCCTGACCGTGCGTGTGATATAGTGCGCCACTTGCCACGACACCACTTCTGCAGATATCACCTTAGCTGTGACTCCGAATTTCTCCCTGGTCTTGTAGACCTTCAACCCCAGGTTCAGCTTTGTTGCCCTTTCAGTTTCCAGCGCACCGCTCCTACTTATACTCGATTTATGCCTGTATTTATTTATTATTGTTGAGCTCTAAAGCTGTTAGCTCGAATTTTTGTTGAGTGCACATGTACAACTGTTTGAGTCATGAATTAATGAAGTTCAATTTATGTAGCTGTACTTTCCTCACCGTCTTTACCCTTACCAATCTTTAAGAGGTTATGATCTTGCTCACTTAGGTACCCTTGCTTGCAGCTTCAGCTTCGTTTCCTTTTTACCACCACCTTCCTTCCACCATCAGAAGCTCCCCTTATCCCCACCCATTCTCCATCATAAGACAGCTCGTCTTACCCACATCCATCCTTCACCTTCTAGTCAGCAAACTTCTACGTTTAATCAGTTTCCAAAATATATGTAATGAAGACCCATCAAAATAGAAAGAAATGCCAAGCCAAACCTACCAACGGGAGTTTTGCTACCACGAACCCGTCGTAAGATTGTGAACATCGTTTGCGCATTCTCACTGGGCGCCTGAAGTTAGAGGGTAAGTTCGATTCCAAATCGCTTGCAACGTACTTCTTATCCCTAGCGATGACTGAGCTGAACAAATGGAAGAGGACTGCATTCATTTGATGGAGGCAAACTCAAGCAGGAAACCTGCGGGGTTGTGGAAAGGCAAGGAAGGACTTCTGTCTCATCAGTGCGCGCGGTCGCAACACGTATTTAATGAGTAATGAGCGTGGGTGGCCGCGCTTGCAGGGCCCATTTGAATCCTTTTTTTACTATTTTCCTGTACAGGTGAGCTGAGCTGGTGCTACGGTAGGTAAATAAACACACCACGAAGAAATCAGCCAAAGACCAAACTGAAAAATGCATCTATTTTCCTGTAGTAACTCAACACTCAAGTAACACCAATTTCTCTGTGGTAGCTTAAATTATTCCGTCTTATCAAACAAAGGGTTAAAACAATAAGAACACACTATGAATAAGTGGGAATAAGCTGATGTAATTCCATTCGTTCACGGGAGACTGGCAGTTGAATCAGTTTCAAGTAGTTGATCCGCCGCACGCGGCAGTCGCGTACCAGTTCCCTCATTATTGCAATTCTGACGTCCGTCACACAGCTCGATCGAGATGCGATTATTATTTTAGCATGGTTCTAGTGCTACTTTTTGTTTTCTCGTACTTCCTACTCGCTGCCATGTTTTTACTTTTTTCTTCATTCGCGCGCGACGTCGCTCTCGCCGCGAAGCGACAATTTTGATCCAACTGCACCACACGGCGAACGTCCGTTGCGCGGGTCCGTCGAAAGTAGGTCACCCCGCCCACTTCGCGCGCGGCGCACTCCACTGAGGTCTCGGGAAGACATTACAGTATCACCAAGTGTGAGTGGAGCGAACGATTTGCATTTGTCTATGTCACCTTCTCTTTGGCTGACTACCGTGGAGAAAGCGCAAATCGTACGCCCCGCTTACAGCTGCGACGTCTGTCAAGTATCGCGGGCTGACCCGCCGCATGCGACGGCTGCGGCGTGACCTAGTTTCGAAGGACACGCGCAACGAAGCGCATCCGCACCACACTTATTCGCCTGTGGCTATCCCATAAGTATGGTAAATCCCCCAGATAAATCTGTACCTGACAATCGGGCCACTCTATCCATTGATAATGGACTATGATTCTGCTATAACTAAGATATTGTAATTCGATTGTCGATATTAACAAATCATTCTCTTGAGAGCGAGACTGCAAATGGCAGATTTGCGAGCTAACTGGTTTTTCAAAAGCCTAAAAGATTAACGAACCCGCAAAAATATGGTGAGATGACCATTGACACAGTGCAGGGGTATATTTAGATAGCTATAAGTAGAGATGTAACTGATGTTAGTAATGTTTTCCAATGATCCTTTACTTTGTGGAACAAAAAAAAATCTCAAAAAGATGAAAAATCTCCAATAAAGAAAACAGACTTTGAAAAATATTCTGCACACTTCCGTTTTCCGTTTTCAACAATTCTGCAGAGCATGATAATAGTTTCAACCTTTTCCTGCCATATCATTCTCCAAAATTCAGATATTGTCTTCGGTAGAGGGCCCTGAAGACTAGCGATTCTACCAAATATCACCCCTATTGTAGGTACACCAGCGAACTCGTCAAATTAGGATATATCTAAATCGTATAGAGCATCACAACCAAAACATCAATCAGATGTATGTCACGGCAATGTATCGCTTGCGACTACCAAGTATGGGGGGACGTGCGATTCGTGCGATTTTGGGCGCGCGCGGCAAATTGCGCGGCGAAATTCGCGATGATTCAAACAACTCCGGCGCCTATCACTGGGGCACAAACTTGAAGTAGAGTACTTTAGTAGGTTCGGACAATCCTACTAACCTAGTTTACTTCGAATTTGGGCCCCAATGATAAACGCTGTACTCGTCCAAAACGCACCGAATTTCGCCGCACAACTCGCCGCGCGCACCCAGAATCGCACGGATCGCAACACACCCCCAAGTATGCGCGTGAAAATCGGTGCAAGTTTCGTGGTATCGGACCTGCGTCAGAATGAACTCGTTTCGTAACAATGGATAGGTTACACGATTTGCGTGAATATAACCTCCACCACCCTCGATAAGTAAAAATTCTAGCAGGATACGTGAAGAATCTAGACAAGGGATATCTGAAACAAATACTCGTAAAAGTTTGAGCTGAAATCCTGAATGGTTTGGCAACTTACTACTGTAACGATTCTTGTGGGCATTGGATGGATCCCCTGACACAATGTACTCTCTAGGATCAGGTTGTGGTAATGAGTAAAACTGCTGACGAAGAAGTTCAGGTGTAAGAGTTTCACACTGAAAATTATCTCATAAAGCATAAATTTAGAGAGCTATAGAGACATTTAGTATTTGTATAACAGTGATAAGGCTACCCTTAAACACATGTTATTCTCTCGCAAATTTCGAGTGCTTCAGGAAATGGGTTAGGATAAGAGGATGTGGGGTGACGGTACTTCTCCCCAAGTTCCCACGGCAACCGGTAGTGGTTCCGCGGCAACTCTCGTTTCTTTCCATAGTAAAATGGTCCTTTCCCTTCATAGCACGCGTCTACGAGCGGCGAGCGCGACGTGATTTTTGGGGAGAAGTTACCACACCCGTTGATATGATGGCGATAGATAGACCTGCACCCCTGATAGACGGGCCGTCCATTCCGCTGAAAGAAATTGGCTTCATGAGTTCCTTTTAAATACGACCTTTTCTACTTACAGGCTTCCAAACAGTGTTGACATGCTGTGAGCTAGGTGTATGCTATATCAAGCATTCTTCGCACACTGCCACTCGTTTGTATATTTCATCAAACCGGCCTCGAATCAGCAACTACAACCTTTCTCGTCGATGGAAGGCAAGCTCCCGTCAACTGATATGCAGCTCAGTGAGCCCTTCAGACCTCAACGACGTGTTTCAACCGACGTTCGACCGACTGACAGCGTTCCTGGCCACTATTGACAATGCAGGACAGATTACGTCCAGGCTGTATGAACGGTATCGATCGAGTCCAGCGTTTCAACACGTGGTCAGCAACGCCGCCGGTCGGTCGATCGTTGAAACAAATCACGTAGTTGTACATTGAAAGGAAGCCGTACAGCTACAAAAGAGCGGCCTTGAACCTTGAACACGAACACTTCCAGCTGCTCAAATTTGAATTTCAACTTGCAACCCCAAAAAAAAGGTTACAAGTTTGATGAAACTGTTGACGATCTGGTTTGAGTTCAAAAAATTAACTGAAAGAAGGTATACTCACCATGCTTGCAAATGCTTTCAAAACAGTAGCTATGTTTCTTTCATATTTCTTTACAGAATCAGCTGATGCTCTTGAATCTGACATTGCTGAAGCTGTCGTGGTTGAAGATGATGCTGCTGTTGAAGCTGTTCCTACGCTTGAATCCACCTCCTCATTCGTACTAGCCGGCTGAAAACCAATGACAATAGTTTTCCTACAACAATAACCAAAGAATGAAGCATACGGTAGTTGTTTCTTCGATTCGATGGATCCAACTGGTATCTTCCTCTTGTTTCTTCGGAGGTCCAACATTTTGGTTACTCTTTTCGACTGGGTCAAAAGAAAGCGAATCGAAAAAAGTGAATAATAAGCAGTTTTCTCTTTTTATAATCTCTTCTTATATAAAAAACTAACTAAATTTTTGTTTGTTGTGTTGCAAAGCTTCTTGGACGGAATGTGAACTGGACGAGTCAGATTCTCGTTTTTCATATAAGGATCGTCGGACGGGTGGTAAAGCGGAATTCTGAACAATCCTGTTTGAAAATGGTTTCGAAAAGGCGGCCTTCGAATCTCTGTTCCCACTGCTCAATTGATATTAGCATCCCCTTCAAATCTTTTGCCCTACACCTCAACCAGCGAGGAATAAGCCATGATTTTGGAATCCTTTCAGAATCGTGAAAAAATTGAGTGCTTTTCCAGTATGTAAACTGCTTCTCTGCTGAAATTTGCGACTTCATACTTCAGTACAATCCCAGTACCTTTTTGCTGGATGAAAACATATGTGAAGAGTCCTGTGAAGCTGGATTGAGATGATACCCTCCTACCCGTTTATTCTTTTTCTTTATTCTCACCTTCCCAGGTGGCAGTATTTCTACACGAATCCCCACGGCAAGCAGCATTGGTTTCGCGGGGTTACCGTATCCGTCCACCAAAAATTCAAATCTCCCCTTCACATTGCGCGCGATCGCGTGCGGTGAGTACGGCAGGCCGTTCAAGTCGGAGATGGTTCGCTGGTCCGGAATGTATGGGAAGATTGAGGGTGGGTTCTACTCGAGCGGGCGCCGGATCGCCCCGTGGAGGCGAAAATTCGAATTTCGTGAGGAATTTCTGCGAAATCACTGTGACCTGCTGTGGAAATCCCGGTGGGAAATCCGTACGTTTTACATTACGCAGACCACAAGTTTTGGTAGACGCTGCAAGTTCTTGAGTTTGCCATTCCCCGGAAAAAGAATTCCCCGGTTAGATTCCGCCTCATGAAAACTTTTGAAAAAAAGGTGTTCACTTACAGAATGTCAATGAGAAGACCCAATTGCACGTGCGTTTACAGAAAGAGGAAGTCAAGGGCCATGCGTAAAAAATGAAAGTTTAAATGCAAAAATGCACATTTCACCGCTTCAGCCAACGAGGCATCGACGTCCTATTAAGAACTTTCAGACTGGAGCAAAAGCAAGAGTTTATGAAACCTTCCCGTTCTTCAAATGCCCTCGAAAAAATTGTGAACATGGCCCACCTGACGTGGACGTCGTTGCCGCGTTGTAGCCGCTTTGTGGTGCAGTTTTGGTTTTCCGAATGGTAATACCGAACTGTGCTTTGACTGAATAAATTCTGTGAAGGGAATGAACATCTAAGCCATGAGATGCAAATAGTTCCTCACAGGAAATTATTGAGCGATTAAAAAAGGAATACACTAATGGGACCTGAGAAAGGGAAGACGTCTTACCGGAGTATGTTTTGGAGAGCCAACTTGTGTATTTGGCCTGAAAACGATATTTTTGTCACATCTATTCTTTCTATACACTTGCATGATACAGTGACGTCTAATCTAATGTCTAATGTAGAGGGAAACACTTCTGTCTGCCTATAAGCGCCGAAACTTTTCATTACCCGACGAAGCACTTGAACCATCTGGCCCGATTCTGAATGGACGCGGCAAACTGTGCGGTGAAATTCGTAGTGATTTAAACGACTCTGGCGCCTACCGTTAGGAGAAAAATGTGAAGTAGGGAAGAAAAGTAGCATCAGCTGGTGCTAATTACCCATCTACTTAAGACTTGTGTTCCAATGATAGGCGCCAGCGTCGTTAAATCCCACGAATTTCCCTGCACAGTTTGTCGTGTACATCCAGAATTGGACGAATGTACCCATACTGAACCATCTATCTCACCCGTCAACAGAGAGATCTACAATCTCTCTAAATTGCAAAAGGCGCCACGCAAATCACGCCATTTTTTGCATGAAGTGCGGGTTTAGGTGCGCCACTACCGAGCACTTGTGCGCGGGAATTAGGATACTGTGGTAGTACTCTGCCAACCTTAACAATTTCTCGATTGGTCGGTTCACAACAATCGAACAGACCCAATGCATTGTTTATAGTCAACGATGCCGACTGTAGATTGCTGAGTGCCGAATGCATCGAACGTTTCGAAGACGCCACTGTTGCCGCGTTGATGAGTCATACGTGCGGTAAACGTGCGGTCATACTGCGTGTTAAAACAGTGTTTAATCTGCCCCAAAACTCATATTTCGGACTTCTCCTCTTNACATGCAAGACAGTAGTCAGATAGTCTGCAAGCATTCCATGGAGTGAACAGACCCGGAGGAACACTCTTTTCCTCTTCTCCATGGCCAGATANAACAATCGAACAGACCCAATGCATTGTTTATAGTCAACGATGCCGACTGTAGATTGCTGAGTGCCGAATGCATCGAACGTTTCGAAGACGCCACTGTTGCCGCGTTGATGAGCCATACGTGCGGTAATCCATACTGCGTGTTGAAACAGTGTTTAATCTGCCCCAAAACTCATATTTCGGACTTCTCCTCTTTCACTTGCCACCTGGCTATCAATACTACACTTACTGTGTAATGGTCGACCGATTTCCTGATCGGAGACGGCGCCCTTATCAACACTATATCGCTGAGAGGGCGCCGACAAGAGTGGAGATGCAATTCGCCAAACCTTTCTCCCTAACGCAGCATCATCCAAGAGAGCCTCCCAGAATAGACGTAGTTACATACAAAAGTCGAGATATGTAGGCAAGGTAGTCAGCCGACAAACGGGAACCCTCTAGCAAAATGAGCAACGATGCCTATGGACTATCATAATTAATCTTTATCACAATTGATAAAATACACGTCCTTATTTTGTGTGGGACAACTTTCCCGGCCTGGTCGTTTCATAGGCCGGCAGTTGCTTCATGATAATGATAATGATACTGGACCCCGCGTGGGGTATTTCTACTTCTCCCCAAACTCCCACGGCAAGCGGTAGTGGTTCCGCGACTACCGTATCCTTCCACTGAGACTCCAAGCCCGCGCGTGTATAATCGATATTGAATGCTGACGAGCTCGAAGTATGGAAGTAGTCCGACTTTTCTTCAACACTATAAAGCCCTACGTAACGAGCAGCAACCCTGTTTGAAGTGATGGCAGGCCCACTTTAGCCAAAGTACCGAGGTATTCCGATTTCCCAACCAGTCATTTATTATGTATAAACCTATTCTATTCATTCATCTAACATTGGCCTATCGGTTGAGAAGCAGAAGATTATGATCGTGTCTTATATATCACTACGAGAATACAAACTTACGGTGCTGATTCTTCTTGTGTCTTGGAGCATTCTGCACTTCGGGCTCTGCTACTTACACGAGAGGAACTTCGTGATTTCTAGAACATGCAAGACAGTAGTCAGATAGTCTGCAAGCATTCCGTGGAGTGAACAGACCCGGAGAAACACTCTTTTCCTCTTCTCCATGGCCAGATAGGAGCACCGCGCGATTCAAATGAACCTTTCTCCATTGAGTCGAACAAACATGACTCAATATCACTCTTAATCAAGTTTTGTGATATCGCAACAATGCTCTGATGATCAGCTCATTCTCTTCAAAATTAGTAAGCACCAATCCAACAACGTGAACGTGGGACTCACCCACTACTGGAGGGGTTTCAAAGCCCCGTGAACGTGTGGAACAGTAGTCCTTCGCGTGCTCCATCCCCCTTTTGTGAGCCTCACCAGGGGTACCTCTTTGTTGCGTCGTACATAAGCCTGCAGTGACGATCAAGATTAAGTAGTAAACAAAGGGCAAGCGCCGCCCCGGCTGGCGCGCGCGCTCGCTCGTTCGCGGGCCCCGGCGGACTATGAAAGCAGCCCTTGAGTGTGTCTTCGGGATACTGTGTAACACACTCTCACACTCACAGGACTTTCTAATCCGACTTAATACTGATTTCTAAGATGCCGCAAAAATCATCACGAAGACAATAATAAAGATTATGTCTATGTCTGATTCTCTGCAGTATATATCTTGACCAAGGACGAAGGTGGCGAAGTGGGGAGTAGCGCACTATCACACACGCATGGTCATGGATTCGATTTCGCCTCGATGGCACTACTAACCCAGTCTAACTAAGCCTACCATCCTTTCGGAATCGGTTAATTTGTACCAGATCAATGGGAGGATGAATGCACTGACTTGTACTCCGCAGGACACCGCAGGTCAATACATGAGCCAATACGTATTCAACCATCGCTATAATTCTGAGTGAAAATCGAATGTGGGGAACATCCCAAAAAAAGATTGTGTAACGCTAAAAACTTTATACATTATTTTGCTCTGTACCGAAGAAAAAAATATTGCGGGCGCCATTCAGAGTTGGACAACTGTAGAAGTAGAAATGCATAACGCTAGAATTCGACTGCATGATTTAGACGCATATCGATCCACGGAGAAGCGTTGCGGTTTCAATCAATACGTATCTAATGTGTGGTAGACACAGTTCCGCACTTTCGAAAGCAAGGGTTCGTTCACTCCAGGGTCTGTTTTCATTTAATAATGAATCTTGTCCGTCTATTTCTTTTGCAGATTGTGACCATGAACATCACTGTTTCTTGAAACTACTCCACCACACATGAGTAGAGAAAAGTCTCAAATATTATCAGACAAAGCCCTAACTCACTCTTATACATACACATTACCTTTTTACTAAAAGATTGTTCAGTAGGTGGTAGTTATAGAGTTCAGGCGGAAACGTTCTAATCACCTATGGCTGCTTTCAGACCTCAACGATTCATCCGTCCGTCCGTCCGTCCGTCCGTTCGACGCGTGCTGCGACGGCGGCGCCTGACCGTTGTCGACACACTGGATCACTTGCCAGCGCTGTCAACAATACTCTAGCAACCGCCGTCGCAGCACGCGCTGAACGGACGGACGGACGGACGGACGGACGGTGGTCGAACTCTGAAAGTAGCCTATCGCTTTGCCCTTAGGCAGAAGCCTGGTATGCGACAACGAGCTTTTCAGTAGGGTCCTGCAAAGAAACTTTATGGCACATGCGCATATACTGTGGTCAGCTACTGCAAAATACTGATTATCTCCTTTTTTATAGCTACTACAGCAAATCAGTCAA